TTGGAAACCGGAACAAGATGGCCTAAGGATTCCGCAGCTCAACATGGCACTTTAAGCCAGAGGACATGCCAAGAGTGGCCGCGGAGTCTGGGAGGACCTGCTCAGGTGGCACGGCCAAACTCAGCCTGACATGTTTCAGGAGAGAGGCCATCACTGTCTTCATCTCGACGAGAGCAAGGCGCTTGCCCAGGCACTCACGCGGACCAGCATGGAAAACTGGATTCTCGTAAGGGGTCTTGAGCTCGTCGCTCAGCCAGCGTTCTGGTCGAAAGTCTGATGCATCTGGGCCCCAGATGGTCTTTGACCGCCCCATGCCGTAAGAATTGTACAGAAGGAGAGTTCCGCGCGGGACAAAGGTCCCGTCCGGAAGCCTGTCGGCTTGAAGGGCAGTCTTAGAGTCAAGTGGCACCGAGGGGTAGAGGCGTAGGGATTCCCTCAAGACCGCCTCAAGGTATTTGAGGTCTTTCAGCTTCTCGTAAGTCAGAGCCTCTCCTTTGCACACAGCCTCTACCTCATCCAGGATCTTCTGTTCCACTTCTGGGTGCTGCATGACAAGGTAGAGGCACCAAGACATGCCCTGGGCCGTAGTGTCGCGGCCAGCAATGAGAAAGTTCAGTACAAGGTCAGTAAGAAACTCCTTTGGTGAGTTGGGCTCGCCTTTCATGAAGAGGCCGACGAAGCTATCCCCAGCTTCAGTGTGAAGCGTCTGCGATAGCTCCTCGACGATGTTGCTGCTGTACCTTCGTTAGAATGAGTCTATCTAAGGGCAGCAGCCCAGACTAGGAGAGGCTGATGAAGTTTCAATCAAGACAATAAGTAGGAGACCCAAGTGCTTTCTGAGGCTGCGCATGTGGTAGCGACTGCGACTTTCCGAGCCCAGGCCAAGAAGTTGAAACAGGCCTCAGCTGTGTCCACAGGCTAGAGCGGCTAGAGGTGTCTGCTTCCACTCCACGCTAAAGAACGGGAAGGGTCCCTCAAAATCTGGACACCCCAAGTCATGCTTTACAGACATGTCCATCATTGTCAATGAACGCAAGCCCTTGACATGCTGGTGTCTCCAAGGCACGCCATCCTGGCAAAACGAATCGCCTGAACACGATCCGCTGCGCTTCATCAAACGAGCGCAGGAAGGGTGACACTGGATTCTCAAGGGACCCAATTGAGGTCCCAAATCCGATCTCCCCAATCGAGTCCAATGTAAAGCGATTCAACAAATTGAAAATATCCACCACGGGCTCTTGGTTCGTGGATAAAAAATCCAACACTTTTTGGCAGTTCTTATGCACAACTCGCCAGATGTGATTCTTGAACCTGTTTGCCGTGAACATCTGTGAGGCGGTCTTCCTCTGCTTGAACCACAGGTCCCCATCTGCATTGAAGATGCCATCCCCTAACAGCTCATGCATGGAGTTGCGCATTGTGCCTCCTTTGGGATAATTCTCGAAATTTGTCTTCAGCATGTGCTCGACATTGCGAGGATCACGTGTGATGACCAATGGCGGCATGAAGTACTGTAGAATCCCAAGGTGCAGGTAGATCGTGTCCCCATCTGCTTCGTGGTATGCGACCAGGTTGCCTGAAGGCATATGGCCCACACAATGTTTGACCCGCTTCAGGGTAGAGACCCTTGCAAAAGCAAAAGGAAAGGGTAGCGCGCCCCGCTTGAACAGACGCCTCTGCATAGAAGGGCGGGCTACTTACATAGCGATTATAGTTAAGCTACTTATACCTGTCCTTATATCCCAACTATATGTCCCTTAACCATAATTGGGCTACGGTTACAGTCAGATGTAGGCTAAAAGTAAATATCCCCGCCGCTTTGATTACATACAGCTGAGGTGATCAAGAGGAAATGAGGCAACCCTAAACCCTAACATAACCCCAATAATATATCAGCTTCCATTTTATTTTCCATTGTCCCAATAAAACCCCAATATACTACTACCAATCCTGGAATTCGCTTTAAAGAGGTCCCTCCTTTTTCAATGAACCCATGCTGCGGTCAGGCTCACATGCCGTAAAAGTTCAAGACAAAATAGGAGTTTGGGGGTTTAGGGTTTAGGATATTGGGATTCTATCGGGATAATGGAAAGAACGTGGAATCTACTATAATGGGGTTATATAGGATTATTATAAAGCTGCTTTGCATTCCAGGTTGCTGTGAGTCGTGTTCCTGGTTTGCAGATATCGGATGCATAGATTAGTGCAGGAGCTACTAGCAAATCCCAACTGCTGAAAGTATAGAGCTCAGAAACAACGCTGACTTGCCCAACCCGCCGAGGCACTTTGCAAAGTTCTGCCAGATCTTCGGCAGGCAGCCCAGCAGCCCAGGCTCGCGTATCACCACGCAACCCTTGGGCTGATGCCTGGCCGAGTGAGGGATGGACGGGGAATCGGGGCGCCAGCCGGGCTCCTACACTACTTTTGGAGATGTCAGCTAAGACAACCCATGGTGGTTGAGCGCGCTTTGGCTTTACAGAGAACCTTTTCTGGAAATGCAATCTGATCTGCTTTTTGACAGCCTCCTCATGTCAAATCTGTTCTTAGGTCCTGTGCTGGCTCAAGCGCCTGGACAAGTACTGCTTGAGGGCCACCACAGAGAGGAAGGCGGCCGCTCCACCAACAACAACTTGCATGGTTGTTCTGTCGACCTGATCAGAAAGACAGCTCGTGGCCTCCAGACTTGGACCTCGCCTGCCTAATGTAGTATACATTAAGGTTATATTGGGGGTACTGGAAAAGAAAATGCAAACTACCATAATGTGCTATATAGGGATTATAGGGTATATATTGGGGACCCATGATTACTAAACCCCCTCCTTTTTAGGGCCTTGATATTAGGATCCCTATTATGATCCCTATTAAGGGGAGGGGGTTTATCAATCAGGGGTCTACGCAAGGCTAAACATCTGCCTGCACGGCTGAAAGGGTAACGGGCATGGCGGCGAGTCCGGGCATGGCGGCGAGTCCAAGAAACTCAACTATCAAAAGTCCTGTGCCCTTGAGCCCGTGGTGCCCCTTCGGCGCAGGCGGATCAACAACAGCTCGAAACCTTTCACTGGTGGTGAGTAGGGAATAGGGGAATATGATCCCTATGAATTATAAACTATACATATTTAAAATATATGCACATATTCCCTTGTTCCCTACCAAGTCCTAATAAGACAATCGCAAATTTCTGTAAAGAGCGCGAGAAACACTTCGAGAGGGGCAGCCTCGAAAGCCGTTTGCCACCTGAGCCGCGAAGCGCTGAGGAAAACCCCTTTTTGCAGTCGGAAGAGTGGCTTCGGCGATGCTTTTTGTTTACTTCTGAGAGCCTGACGACTTGCTGGCATCTCCAGGCTTGCTTGGAGACAGTTGCTTGACCTGGGTGGTGACTTGCAGTGACCTCCACTTCTCTGAAACCCGTGATGAGTCCTTGTAATCCATATCTTCATATAACCCCATCATTGTAGTTTCCATCTTCTTTTCCATTAGCCCAATATCATAACCCAGCATGCTGTGCCGAAACTGGGCCGCAGCGCAGCCTCGAGGTCTGCCTGGAATTCTTGGTTCGCGCCTGATTTGCCCGACACTCTGCAATCCCACCACTGAGTTGTAAAAAAAGTCCGCGTTCTCCACAACTTCTGAATAGGATGATGACTTCTGACAACCTTTCGACCCCCCAACTTGACAGCCAGACTCTTTGTTGGCCTCCTAATCTCTGATTTCTGCTGCAGGCCAAGCACATGGCTGATTGTTGCCCCGCAGGCCTTTGTCAGAAGCTGTTGGGCTGCAGGCTTGGGAGCTGTTCGAATACCAATGTTCGTAGCACTAATGCATCCACAGTCTTCCTGAAGAACACTTTCATAGCTGAAAGACTTCCCTGACAAGCTTGCGCGGCCATTGATTGGACCAACTCTGCAAGAAAGACATCTGACAGGCATGACAGGAAGTACAGAGGTTGCAGACTGTTGCATGCTCGGCTGAAGCTCGGGACAGCCCTTGCCCAACCTGGAACTAGCGTGCCTCACCCAAGCCGTCTGCAGTTTGTGCTCAACACCAGGACCGGCCTCTAAACGCTCCACGAGCAGCGCAATCCGCTGAACCTCCACGCTGTAGGCTTCGCTGAACCTGGCTGCCGAGACTAACTGCTGCCAGTAGATGAAGCTTCAGCACCCAACTGCACGGAATGGCAGACCAATTCAGACCATAATTTGAAGCTGCAACAACAAACGCATTGCAAAGGAGAAGCGCTGAGTGTTGAACACCCGCTCAGGATCCTCTGCATCCTGCGACAAGGACTTGCATCCGGAACAATCATCAACGAAGTGGTGGTCTCGGCTCTGAATCGTGGAGCAGCGGAGAAGGAACCACTCAAAGATGGGGAAGGGGGCTCCAGTTACTAGCAAATTGCAAGAGGTCAGTGAAGCGTCAACAGCTGCTGAGAGGAGTTCCCGGACACCTTCGAGAATCATTAGTCTGGCTAACTTCACCAGCTGTGGCCGGAATTTCTGTCAATCCCGCCGGGGCCACGATATCAACAACAAGCGTAACACTGAAGCTCAGAACCCTAAACCACCCAAAATCAGATCGGCCTTTCTCTGAATTTTCAGAACATATAGGAAACACACCCATGTCCCCGTGTACCCAATGCTCGAAGATGAGCTGCTGGTGATAGAACCGGCTAGGGACTGCATGCACCGTAATTCACATACCTGTGCTCGTTCAACCCTGAGAAGCCCCGAAGAGCCAGCCTGAAGCCCTGCATGTCTCGCAGTGCAGCTCGCGCGCTGGCACCTCGTCTGTAGAGGGGGCCACAAGCAGGTTCCAGAGATCCTGTTGGGACAATGCTGGGATCTGCAAAGCCGCGAAGTTTGTAATCACAACATACAGCGTGAGAGTGGAAATTGCTCCCCATCCGACACCATCCGACCTTGATGGCACCTCGGAAGCCCAAAACCGATAAACCCGAGCAGAGCAATTCTGATTGGCTTGGCCAGCCTCGCTGCCACAGCCAGCGCTGCTAAGGCTGGGCGTGCGTTGCTGCAGGATGCACTTCGCACAGCTTTGGGTCTATCATTGCACCTGTTCGCACTGCAACAGCATTCGGACCAGTGCAAAGTCCTTGCATGACCCCCGTCACAGCTGAAACCTCTTTTTGACGCAAAGTCTCAACAAACCCTGAACACGCACCTAAGCAAAGAGGCCGGCAGTGCGTCGTGCTTGCCCGTTGCAGAGGGGCAGATGAAAAGCCTCAAGCTCAGCCGGCGGCCAAGTGCGAGGATCAGGCTAGATCAGAGCTGCGACAACATGTCAAGTAACTTTGTGAAACTAGCAATGAGTTGGCATCTTGGTGGGTTGTTGGTCTGCGTCAGCCCGCATGCAGTCATGCCCTTGCTGGTCTTCTATCCATCGTGTGCTTAATGCCCCTAAGACCTGGCATATGGTCAAAAAAAGTGCCATGTAAGTGAGGCCCCTTGCAAATTCCTATGCTGTTCATCGATAGGGCTCTTTCGTCAAAGCCTGTGCTGCAAGAATTATCGTTCGACATGCTTCCGCCCGTAGCTTTTGTCCGAATCGTTCAACCTCAACATGGCCTGGTCAGCACGGGGTGTGAGACGGGCCTGTGACTGGCGCGCTCTTCCTTGGGAAGGCCTCACGCGAGATGTACAGTAACAAGAAGCAGCTGCTGAAGCCATAGCAGTTGCTTAGCACACGCTGCAACTTGCGCCAGTGCTCGCTGGTGGAGCATGACTACATGACTCACCGACACGCTTGCGAAGGATGTCCAACTTACAACGGTGCGACACACGGATCTTCACGAGCACGGAAAGTAGCAAGGGGCTTCCTGAGAAAGGCATGAGACGCAAGCTGTTGGGAGCAGTTTTTATCGGAATGGCAAACTTATGGTGTAACTGCCAGGAAGCTCTTTGCAAATCAGAAAGGGGGCGAGCAGACTGGGCAGCCAGCAGCAACTCTTTCCTTACAAGGACCATGGCATGCACCCCCCTAGCTGCCTAGCTCTTTGGTCTCCAGCTGGACTGTTAGTAGACAAACGGGAGCAAAACGGATCCTGTATGGAGAAGGCTGACTCTCCGCCTCTCCGCTATTGCACAACGAGAGTCCCTCGCTGCCTCTGGCCGAACTCTTCAGCAAGTTCTTGAGGTCTGGAATGGAGCGAGCCCTGGCTTTACTGGGAACAAATCAAACCCCAAACAACTTGCCACAGGATGCCACCGGCCTTTGCAGGCCCTGATCCAGAACTCTTGTGACTTGAGACTTGGCCACACAGCGCTCGACAGCGCAGCGCCGCCAGAAGTCGAGGCTGGTGATGACCTGAATAGGATCGAGACTGAAAGACTGAAGTCTGGTGCAGAAGTAGCAGCTTCGTGCAACGGAATATGCGTCACCTGCTAGGCATTGTCTACGGAATTCTATGCGGGCCAAACACCGCGCACGATAAGACTGAGGCCGCTGCACAAAATTCGTCTTGTGTTGCTTCCACCCTGCCTGATGCTGTCTGGCCAGGACCGAAAATATCGAGAGCACATGAAAGACATCTTGCAGCACATGCTGGGGACCGTCGCATAAGACCTTCAAACAGCACCCTTGACGTCTTTGAGCGAGATAGCAGGGCTTCTACTAGTTTGGAAATCAGACGAGGGTAACCCAAGTTGAGTGCCTGTCGCTACATACCACCAACATATTTCGAAAGATCACGCGTCTTACAGTTTCAGGTAGCCGTAGACCAAGCGGCCTATCAGCCGAAGGCCACCCTCGCGGCGGTTGAAGGCCACCAAAGCGCAGGGACCCAAATCCATATCCTTGGAATTCCCATGTGAAGTGCCATCTGGTGGCGGCAGAGATCATAGCAACAAAACACGCGCGAAAGTCCAAGGTTGTGAGCTACTTTGAAAGGATCAATCTTTGTGCCTGCTCTTGAGGGCCTGATACCCTATTATAATGTAATAGTTTCTATGTTTCTTTTCCATTGTCCCTATAGCACCCCAATATTATCCCAATATCACCCCTACAATCCCTGTAGTTTTCATTGCTTGGTTAGGCTGACGAAGGGCGTACACCCATATATACCATGGGGTTTCCCAAAATAAGGGGTACCCTTTTGGGGGTCCCCATAATAAGGACTAACTATAATAGTATTTTGGAGTCTATGTTGGGGTATAACTGCTTTGGGAAAACTACCACATACTGTGGGATGCTCCGTCTGCATATGCCTGCGTGATTGACTGGACTGCCCGATGCCTGCTGGTTGATGCAAGATCATTTGCAGAATCTGGGGCCTGTACTCGTCTTATTTCCATGGGCTTCTCGCTCGTGACCTCGCCGCGCAATTGGAATTCACCGAGCCACCTGCAAAAAGATTGCAAAACGATCTCTCTTGCATATCTCCTGCGATGCCCAACTTATCTGCCCTGCGCCCGCACTATCCGAAGAAGGCAAACCTAAAGCCTGTGGAATTTTGAAACTGAGGCACACGCCTTGCAACTTTAAATGCCAACACATGATATGCCATGTAAGTGTTGGCATCTTTGGAGAATCTAGCGCCGCTGAAGTCAACATCTGTTGCATGTCTTGCAAGTGCTGGTCCTTGCACCTTTCCCACTCGCAGCCCATGCTGGCATCGGTCAGGAGGCGTTGAGATGCATCCAGAGTCCGCCGTACCAGCATCATGTCTGATGCAATTCTGGTTTGCCAGACAACGTTGCACGAACCCTTTTGGGCAGCCTCTTTGGTTGTGGTCCCTTTAGCTCAGCTGGGCACAGGCTCTGGGAGGGTATTCTTGGTTACTTTGTTGCCTCTAGGCCCTCTGCTGACTTCCAGGTTATACCATGCGTTCTCCACTTCTCAACTTAAACTCAGGACCCCTGCACAAAGAAGCGCCTGTTCAAGAAAGGCCGAGCCAGCTGAACAGCAGGTGAATTCAGAATTAGTTCCGGCTGCTTGAGAATCTCTTCTGGGACATGCTCATTGGCCAGGTACATCATCAGCTTGTCACCTTTGATTCGCACGTGAAGAAAGCAACTTAGAAATGCTCCGGCCCGTCTCCTGTCATGCCTGCTTCAGCAGTTCTTGGGTCCTAAATCCACTAATTACCAATGCTTCTAATGCATGATCTTTGGCCTGGGCAGGGTTGGGCCGGGGAAAATGCTTAAACGGTTTAAACGAACCTGTTTTTAAACATGAAATGTTTAAACATTTTCACCCTGAACCTGCTCAGTGTTTAAACGGTTTTAACCGTTTGAATGTTTAAACGGTGTAAAACGTTTAAAACACGAGGGCCAAGAGGAACCATGCGTTTAAACCGTACTTCGCATCCAAGAGCCCCAAATGTGAGGGAATGTGCGTTTTTGGGACCCCCAAAAACGCATCTGGGCTCAGTATCTGAAAATCCAAACCCTATCTCGTACCCCAAACTCATACATTAGAGCCTCAAAACGGTGGATGTTGCAGCGTCCCTTATGCTCGAAATGTTTGAACTGCTTAAACCTTTGCTACCCAGAAAATGTTTAAACGGTTTAAACGTATCCCAGCAGGCAATTGTTTAAACGGTAATTCAACAAGAAATGTCTAAACGGTTTAAACCCACCAACATGTTTGAACGTTTAAACCTAAACGGTGTTTGGAGCGATCCTGGGCCCGGGAGTCAGTCGTACCGCCAAGGGGCTGAAATGGTTGCAGTTGTGGGTCAAGGCATCATAAGAGTCCTTGTGAAACTCATGCGCAAAGTTGACGCCGATGTGATGGATGACTTCCTCGCGGCTTCTGTAGGTGTAACCTGACAACATGCTGCAGCATGAAATCCGTGATGTCACCATCTAGAATGTAGATGCAAGTATCTTCAGCGTTTCGCCACGCCGCTGTTTGGTGCTCAGTTCAAGACGGGTTGCTTCCCCTTACTCCTGTCTTTGGGGATCCACTGAGGCAATACACGTGACACATGGAGAGAAGGCACGGTCCCGGTCCCTGCGCAGGCTTCCAACGCAGCATGAGCGAATGCTGCGTCTGGAGAAACTACCCCACTTTCTCCAGCCAGCATCGCTTCCTAATCGTTTGGGGCGTAGAAGCAGAGATAACGAGCCTGGTTGGTAAACCGAATGGATTCCCTTGCGCCAGCCAGTAAGGCCATACTTTGAAACCCACGATCTTAAACATTTGCCACAGGATCGGCCTCTCTACTCCAGCCTGCATTCCTTGCCAGCCAGCTGGTATGCTGCCATCATCCTGCAATGAAGCGCCTTTCTCAAATCTCCCGCTCAGGCTCCATTGCCTCTGCATGCTACCACCCCTTCTGGAATCTGAAAGATGCTGTTGGCAGCATCTGAAAGATGAGGCGGTGGGCTCAGGTCGTATTTGCCAGGAACATGTCAACATTCCTATTCCTGGCGGGCTTCAAGATCTATCCGAAGCTGTCTCTGAAGCTACTACAGAGGAGACAGCTCTCGGAGACAACGCAGACTGACAGACGAGTGGCCCATGAATCTTTTCTCGACCGGCTCTCCGAATGGCGTGGTGCATGGAGTAGATAGGAAGACCTTCCCTCCAAACCAGAATTCTCCTGGCTTGTCGGCAAATTCGACCATGACACCTGTGTGCCAAAAAGCGCGAAAGTGCGGCCCCAATAGCCAGGACCAAAAGCTCGCCCTGCCATCAGTGATGTCATACATCCTGGGCTTTCACGGCCATTAAGCATGTCAGACCCTCACGGTACTGATTTTCTCAGATTTCCACGAAAAAACAGTTGCAAAAACTTGCAACAGTTTTGCATATGTTCAGCCAAGGGGCAGCAAGTAAACCTTTTGTCGCTTGCGACCCAGCATGACGCTCATAAAATCATGATAGTTCAGCTCCTCATCCTCTTCCAAAGCCAGCTTGCCTTTGAGGCTGCAAGCACATACATGCAAAACACCGCCGTTGTCATCCACCTGGCATGAATTTCCGAACTTGGTACGTTATTTTGCTCCGAGATACCTTCATCGTGCTGACGCAATATGTCTTGCGCCCAGAACTTTTCCATGACATGGTCTGGGAATGCCTCCATTGTGCGACAGGCCTGATTCAAAGCTAACCCAGATTCACGCAAAGATCTTAGCCCTAGGCCCTATCAGCCAATTGTACACACTCTGCAAAACCCTGCTTTTAAGGCCAACAAGGCAGAACACAATTTTGGAAATCAAGAGCGACAATCGATAGAACGAAATCCTTTCCTGCTTACGTTCTTATCGCGGGAAGCAGATGCTGATCCTGCGAAAGGATGCCTCCAGCAAACCATCGATCGGTAGTGCCAGGCTGTTGCGCCCAAGTATTGCCGTGGCAAAGGCTTCAAAGATGGCTTGCAATCGTTCCAACACCTTCGGACACGCTTGCGGTCCACTACCAAACAATGTCACACAAACACAGCCCCTACATGCAACAGCATTCAAATTCCGTCCTTCGAATCGTATTGCAACACCACCCGCAAACGCTCGGTCAGCTCTGCAACCGAAGCAGCCGAAGGCTCTCCCACTTGGAGTGCCCAGTAATTCACCCATTCCTCCTTGGTCAAGCCCGCCAAGTCCCGTAGTGATGCTGACCGCATGACCTGATGGCATCTTGGGTCATCAAGAATTTTGAAGTTACATCCTACCAAGCGTTGCTTGTCATTGCAGACATGTTGGCGCTGCAATTGATCCTCGCTACGATGCTAAACTTTGGACTTGATTGCTCAGCCGATGTGTTCCCAACAGGACCAACGGAAAACACAACTGTAGGGTACAACATGGTACAACCACTGCCGTACTGCAACCCCACAATCCCCACAGCAGCATGACTTTCACATGTTCAGGACAAAATGCTTCGCGGACGGTTTCACCGAGCAAATCACCATCCATAACTGCACCAGGCCATTTGCACAATAAATCATCTTGTGTCAACAATGGTTCTGATTCCGCGTTGCCCGAAGCCATGTCGGTAAAGAAATCCTTGCATTTGTCGAAATCCCAATTGCCTGAGTCCTGCAATCCCTCCACGTGCGTGAACCGGATTGCGCGGGTTCGACCCGATAGGTGGTCCTTCCGCGTCATGGAATCCAGATCAATGTCATAGCTCCCACGATTGCTGGAGATGACAAACGAGCGAACGTGCGCCTCCCGTTTTCTGATCATCTCCAAGCTCTCAGATGGAATCAAACATTGCCAATCGCCACCACGCCACACTTCAACAATTTCGTTCAACTCAATTTGAATCGATATGGTCTTCCCAACAGCAAGCTCCCGGCGTCGGGGATGCGGCATGGTGTCTTGCCAGCCATGGCTAAACTATGTTGCGGCCTTGCCTGTTCCAGCAGCCAACATCAGCGTCAGGGCAATCAAGCAGTCACCCTTCCAAATCCAAACTGTGAATGCTGAGGTCCTGGCATCAGTTGGATCTGTATGACCAAGCAGCATTCCCGCACCCCTTACATGATATGTCCGAGCTCAAGTTCGAACCTCAATATGATTCCCCTCCCCGGCTACGACACAAAGATGCAAAGCTACGCATTGCCATGTCCATGCCCGAGGTAGTCCTTCGTGTCTTGCCAGGGTGTATTCTGGATTGGTTTGTCAGTTCCATGGCATTGAAACCCTAGAAACCCAGCATGCTATGGAACAACAAATGCAAACGTGACGTGATACTGCATGCTTCCTTTGTCGCTGCAGGCCAGCACATGGACAGGGCTGTTTTTATCCATGTCTCTTTCCCATGCAGGACTGCCCCAAAAGTGAGGGAACCGTGCAAATGCACAACTGGTGGACAAGCATCCCATGTTGAAGAGCCGTATTCTGACCGGTGGACCAGCGGTCACAGTCTGCCATTAACTGCGCGATGAGTTGAAAACGTCGGAACGTGGCAACCAAGCCAGACCAACGCAAAATCCCTGAACCGCCGACACAAAGCGGCAAATCCGATATAGGTCCCATAATATTGCACAACCTTCCAAACATGTCTGGGACGAGTTTTGCAGGGTCTCGAAGTAAGCCGTGGGAAAACTGTTTGTGAGTCGGCCGTCCCAACCCGCTAACAAGTAAGTTCGAAGTAGCCGCCAACGTGTCTTTCCTTTTTCCGAGAAAAAACACTCGCTCTTTTTTGTCCACGATTACTCTTTTGCATAGGAGAAGATATTCTGAAGTACATGTTTTTTCGCCACATCTTCTATTGGCTACCACCTTCATCCTGCAGAAACGCAAATTCTGCTGCGGCTCCTCCTGGTCCCGCAATGTCACACACAAGCGCGATTCCAAGCGATTCCTACGGTGGGTAAACCAGCCCAACGGACGTGATAGTGACGTGGTCTCAGCCCACTACAGGGCACACCTCAGCCCAAACCAACAGGAATCAGCCCAAGCCTGGCTTCAGCAAAGCTTCAACCAAACACCAACATCTACCTCATGCCTCATGCAGCCGATCCTCTGCGATGACGATTAATTGGCAACATCTGTGACCTTTCCCAACAGCCTTTTCCATGCGTACAACATGCATTTCCCCCATGGCACAACGACACAACAGCATCAACAAAATCAAAACATGAACAGAACATGCAGGATTTGCGATGGAATGGTTTTAGAACGTTGATTGCACACGCTCCCCGCTCACCCCAAACAGCAAGGCGCACTAAGGGGCACAGTTTAGATACGACGACGGGAGTTCAGACCGTCACTCTGTACACAACCATAAGATAGAAAGAAATCATCCTTGTACAAGGTGCTGGGATGAAACAAGGTTCCCCATACGATATCATGGAAGGACATGAACCTTCACAGTCGCCCCAATATAAAACCATTGGATTCAAATGTGTTTCCCCATCAAACGGCATAGCCTTGAAAAGCTTTGTAGTGCATAAACGCCTGGGATTAAACTTGTCTTCCTTTTGAACCAATGTGGAATTATAAGATACCTGCGATTTTCGCAGGGTCTCCCTGGCAACAGCATGTCATGTTTTGCTACAATTCGTTGCCAAGCTATTTTCGCACGGTCAGAAAGGATCATGCGGCGCGGCAAAGATCATGTAAAAACATGTTGGGGTCAAACAGAGATTCTTCAGCACTGTATAATAAATAGGAAAATCAGCGATGTTCTGTAAGTGTTACGCTATCGAACACGGCATGTTGTAAGAAAACTTACGCGGAACTGCCCGGCGTCGCCCGTGGCGTCTCGGAACATCTCAAGTTATATCAGGCCTCTTACACAACGTTTTACAGGGGCCATACAGGGCTGCACTAGGGACCGCGGTTATGTTGCATCATGAACACGCCCTGCCCGGCGTCGCCCATGGGATCGGCCGCCTTTAGGAAAAAATCCGACTGCAAATGCTGAAGCCCAAACAGTAAAACATGGCAACCTTGAGGACATCCAGCTCAGCCCGAACCCCATAAACACATAACCCTAACCTGAGGCCCAAAACCTTAGCCTGCAAAACGTATTTTTTTGAAACCTAAACCGATACCCTAAGTCATAACAACCTAACCCTGGCAACCCTGAATGTTAACCTTCATGAGAACCCTAAATCCCCACCCCCAAAAAACGCACCCCTAACCCCAATAAAGCCCACAATAATAGCCACCGTGAAAGCCCAAATAACGCATTTCACGGTACTGGCAGTTGTCTTTTGATCGCTCCCCTGCTTCAAATAGCTTTAGGAAAAGGCAGACACTCCCATGGGCAATGCCGGGCAAGGCGCCTTCATGATCCAATAATTTGTGCGTAAAATGATATGTAAGAGGCCTGATGTAACCTGAGATGTCCCGAAACGGCACGGGCGACGCCGGGCAGTTCTGCGCAAGTTTTGTGGAAAAGCCTCTTGTACAAAATCCCGGGTACTATAGCGTAGCCTTTACAGAGATTTAGAAAAATCTGTGATATTACTACTAATCAGTGGGGGGTCGTCACAAAGCCCACTAAACGACTCATATGACCCTGAAACCCCTGAACAAAAGCCACATGATCTCTACAAGGCCTGTATGCCTGCGTAGTCTTGCATGATCCCGAACAAGGTTTGCTTTGTGTGGGATAAGGTCTAAGCTGTCGGGTTAGCGCTGGGGGTTTCCAATAGAGGTAAGGTTTATCGCGTATGAGATCAGGGGCCTCCCCCATGGAAACGCATCCAACTACAAGAGGGCTGCCCAAGATAAATGGCTGGAATTTTCTCCGAACCTTTTGCTCGCAAACTCTCGTGGTCAGCGCTGCCACTATAGCGCTGCGGCAGGCGGCTGGGGCCTTTCCACGTCCGCGAGGTGGAGCAACTGGTCCAGCTCCGGGCCGGCTTGGCTCGTGGCATTGGGCGCGAGCTGCGCTCTCCCCAGCGCTGTGCGCGCGACTTCCTGCTGCTGCTAATGGCGAAGGGCGCTGCCTAACGGCGTGGCGCCGTAGATCACAAGATCCAATAGGCGCCTGTCCGCTGGGACATGGGGGCACGGGGGTGTCGGCTAGCAAGTCGCCGGCGACACCACCGTCGTTGCACAGCTCACCTCCAGTGGTTCTCAGCGCCACGCGCACAGCTGTTATTTCAAAAGAGGTTAACAAAAGAGAAAAAGAAAGAGAGAGGGTGGGGTTTCCGCCTGAATCCAGTTGATGGGGGCCTAAATCCAAAAACCCTCACCCTAACCCACCTGGTTGCGCGTTGAAAGCCAGGGCATGGGAAAAATTGAACGGCCAGGCCCCTGGAAATTCATCCTTGGATGGGCTTTCGTTTTTCGCTTTCGCCTTCGCCCGTTCGAGTCCACGTGAAACAGCATCACCAAGATTACGGTCCTATGAGGACATGGGGCGGATGGCAGCAAATGCAACACGCAACTTTTGCGCTACATCAAACTCAAGGGTTTTGTGTTTCCAATCTGTACAAACGGCCACTTGGGTCAAGTAAGGTATGTTGGGAAAATTTCGTTTACAAAATGAGGGGAGTGTATCATCCCATTGCGTTAGGGGACAAGCAGGATGGGAAGGAGTCCATACCTTCTGCAACGACTAACAGGCTTCCCCGCAAAATATGGCTTCGCTGAGGGGGATAGTTGATGCCGGTGGAACGGTACGTGGGGAAAATCCTCGTCATCTCATGTACTTATTAATCTGGGGAAAACCCGTGCAATTGAATGCACCTTGCTCTTATCTGGAGGATTTTGTTGGAAAACAACTGGTGAAACCACTTGAATTCTACATGATTTTGGGATATTTTAATTTTTTATAGTCGGGGGCCGGTGGCGCCGGGATGCGTCTCAACTCGTTCGTCAGCTCCGGGCACCCCCGCCTTTCGGGCCTCTGCCTCGACTGCCTGGGCCCGCAGGTGGTGGTGCATGCTTTGGGTCGCGGTCCAGCACGCGATTGCAGGACAACGCTGGGCGTGCCGTGGTTGCTCCCCCGGGCGGCGGTTCGACATGAACCGCCCCTGGATCAAGTCCCGGCCTGGTGCTGGCCGAGCCGATCGGCCCCAGCCGCCTGCCAATGCGCTGAACATTGTGCTGAACATTGCGCTCACGGCGCTAAGCACTGCGCGCAGCTCTGGACAAGGTGCTTTTTGGTGGAAAAACGGTTTATGGATGCGGGTGGCTCAAGGGCACACGCTTAGCAGAAGGCCGGGGGTAGGCAGTTGATGCTCTTCAAGTGATCACTTTTGCCCGTAATAACAAAGAAAGGAAAAAAACGGGTGGAAAAAAAATAAAAATAAAAAAGAAATGCTTGTGCATTGGCATTGGCAAAAATGAAAGCGACAATGACTCCACCGGCGGGGGGATTGAAATGATCTGCACGATCTCCCCCGCAAGAGTTGGATGGGGTTGAGGAGTTTGAACCTACATGAAATGATGAGATGCAGATGCATGTGTCTGCAAACACCGCACAAAACAAAAAAAAAAAAAAAAACGTTACAGACATCGTGCATCGTGAGGTTCAAACGGGCTTATCAACTGCAGAGACGAAGTTGACCTGTTTGCAAACCGATGTGAGGACTCGAATGGATGGTATTCAACAGCAATTGCAACATCATGCAAGACCGCCTTGACAAAGTGGAGCAACTGCTGGGCTCGGGATATCCCACGCCACGATCCCGTACGTCCGATACAACATACGACTATGGCTATCGAACAACAACTTGCGGATTTGCCAGAACAAATTTCCAACTTACGAATGGACGCAAACTCTGGGTCGCGTCAGCCGACTAGCACTTTGGTAATTGGCGGCCTGCAAACGTTGGAGGGCGTGCCTGCAGCCACCACATGGCTGAATAGGATCTTGGCGAACATGAATGGGCCAAGACATGTTGGCA